CATCAAAATGATTAATTATTGATATCTCCAAATTAAAAATTCGTCTCTAAGCCCCGATTTTATGTGGAAGGGCCCATATATACTCCCCACCCAAAATGAAAATGATCATCATTGTTGTTATTTTTTGATTAACGTTAACAAAACTAAGGTTAACTGTTAAGGTTAGGATTCAAGGATAGTGTTAGAGCTAGAGTAGGCATTAAAAGATACCTATACCAAAATTTTGCAAGGAAATTTTTTTGTTATAATGCGAAATTTCAAGATAAAGACGATTTTTTAATTTTAACGTTACACACTGATCGTTCGTGTAGCATCTACATAACTGATGCTGACTGGCTAGGGAACCAGCTTTCAAACTGGTTTGGGGCACATAAATGCACGCGATTTCGACCTCATGATCCAATTTTTAATTAATTTGACTATATATTTGGTTCAAATTCCAAATTTGATTTGATTCTGCGGAGTACTAAATCATAAGTGTGTACAGTACATAAATATTTGATTTCAATGTGCTACTTCTCTCCAGAGTTAGTAGCACACTTGAAATCAAATATTTCTTAAATTATCGCCTTCAATAAAATATTTATATACACACTTTATTAATGCTAATAATTTAGGAAATAATTTTCTCTATAAGGGGATTGTGGTTTGCACCGAACGTACGTACATTGATAGGAAATACAGTATTTGATTAAATACTTGTTTACACTTTGCCTCTATAATGAGATTATCGCCTTTCGATTTCTTCATTATATTATATGATTTTTAATGATTTTTAAGTGTTTGCACCAAAAAATATTAAAACCCTTATTTTAGCCTTATTTTTATTTTTAAAAAATCATCTTGGTCGACCAGTAAATCATATTAAATCAATTTTCTCTAAATTTCAACAGTTTCTGTAAACTATTCTCTACGGACACTTGTATCGGGGCAATTTTGTTTACAAGTTTATTTAAGTACGTAATAAACATTTGTCTCTATTCGCGTTAAATAAATTTCATAACCTCGAGCTTAGTCGCAAATAATTTTAAGAAACAACGTTCGGTTAATTTTTTATGAGTTACATGTTGTGTTGGAAACATTCTGTTTTCATGAAAACATCAATTTTCAATGTTAAAATACAAGAAATAACACTGTCAAAAACGCTTTGGATCTTGCGCAGTGTAGATGACACCTAATTTATTAATACTGTAGTTAATGGTGTCACCTATACTGCGCAAGCTCCTTATAAGAAACACTGAACCTGTCATTTTTTAATGTCGAGTTATGTCTTCATGGTTCACGAGATATGAAACAGATGAATCTTCGAAACTTTGTACTATTACTACATAAATTTATAAAATGGTCACCTTCAAAAATTTATTACTAATAATAATTGCCTTATAACCTTGTTTTTTTTTTCAGGCAATTTTAATTTCAATAAATGGGTGAGATTGATAAATTTAGAAATCCGGAATTTGGAAAATGCACCAGGTGTGGTCGATTCAATACTTCAAGAGCGTGGTGTCAGTCATGCGATCCGGAGTCGGAGAGTAAAGGATGGACAAGTGAAAACAATGACATAGACCAATGTATTAAAGAATTTCAACTTGATGCTACAGAGTATGAGAACGTAATTGAATGGATTCCTTATAATGATCTAGCAAATTTTGAAACAATTTGCGAAGATGGTGAATCAAAAGAATTGATTATTGCATGTTGGATAAAAGGAATGCGAAAAGTCATGCATAGTAGAGTTAAGGGACATACAAGATCACGTGTACCAAGATGCAAAGTCAATCTTAAGAAATTACCTTGTGCTGAAATAAACGCTTTGAATTTGATGAAAGAAGTAAGTATACGAATCATGCTACGTAATAATATACGTAAAGAGGTTGGCATTACAACTATAGTAAATTTTTATTGAAATTTTAATGGAGTCTTAATAAGATATAATCCCGTGCGGGATTATCTCGCCTCTGTGTGACACGAAGGGAAAACCAGAGCTGGGCCTAAATTTAACACTGCACTTAGTGTTGGACAATTGGACCACTGGACTTATAAATTGGAGAATTGGACTTACGTATTCCAATTGGAACTTATAAGTCCAATTTTAATTTAAATTACTGAAATTACAAAGGCCCAACACTGATTTGTACTAGATTAAGGAATCGTTTAAAGCAAGGCTGCCTGGCTTTATACGACTCCGAATTCGATCAAAAATAACTGTGATAAATTCAACAGAATCAAGGTTTCGATTGGAGCCACACACGGTTTGTCCGGCACTGGTTTTAGTGATGTCAAAATCGCCGTCACATATAGCTTAAAGACTTGCTCACGATCATATTGTATTCCCACAACGTAACATCATTAAAGTCGCCCGTGTGATCCAATTTTATTAGTAAAATACATAAAAAAGAAATTTATGCTTTAATAAAAATTTAGTTTTATCAAAAATTTCAACGGCAAATATTAAAGTCAATAAATCGGCACCAAAAAAAATTATTTTTTTGTTGAGAAGGTTGGTTTGCAAAAAAAAAAAAAAAAAAAAGACAATAAAAATTTTTTAAGTAATCAAAAGACGATGATTTCATCAAAATTTTGAGGTAAATAGACTTTTAAAGAAAGCAATAATTTATGTTGTATATTCTCATGGTATATAAATAGAAGTTGCTTAAAAACTTCTATTAAAGCATTAATTTCTCTTTTATATCCTTTAATAAGAAAAAATGGATCTATTTTGTAATTGATTGTAGGAGTATGCACACGATATATTTAACTGAAATTTAGCAGTGACATATTTAAAAATTTATTATAGTAGTATGATGCCATTAACATGTCGCGGTTACGTAATCACCGACCCGTTTCCGTTAGTCCGAAATCAAAAGCAATAACGATAACACATTTACATTATATTCAATTAATGTTTTGATCATATATATCAGTATAAAATTGATGTATATGATAAATATATTAACTTAATATAAAGTAATGTCAAATTGGTCGGAGATTACGTACCGTAACATTTTTATGGCGCCTATGATCTGCGAATGTATAGTGATATATAAAAATTTTTTTTAAAAAGCTTAAATCAGAAGGCAGTAAGTTTAAGATATATGGCATAACTTGTGAACCTAAAACAAAAACCTATATGGTTGTGTGGGATGAATTTGCAACCGATAGGGATAAAATTAACGGCAAGTGTAAATATTGTGAGCGATTTAACACTTCTCCATCCTGGTGCCAGACATGTGATCCTATCAAAATAGTTGAAGAGGATGAAGATAGAAATCCTGATAAATGGACGAGTGGCGATATAAATATTGATAAATGTTTAAAAGAAATTCGACTTAAAACAACAGTGTACGATGATATAATTGAATGGATTCCTTTTAATAACCTAAGGGATATACGATTGATGGAAGAGAAGGATTCCGAATCAGTATATATAGCAACTTGGACGGATGGAATAAGAATAGTTGAGAATTATGATGATGAGTGTACACGATCACGTATACAACCATACACAGTTAACCTTAAGAAATTTCGAATGAATACTTTAGATTTTATAAAAAAAGTAAGTCATTTATTTTAGCGATTTAATGTATAAAATAATAATTTAACATGCTTGGAAATTTTAAGCTTAAAAGTTTAGTGCAATCGACACATTCAGATGGTTGCAAACCTAAAGTATATGGCATAGCTTATGAAATTAAAACGGAACAATATATAATCGTATGGGATGAATTTGAATCTAAAAGAGATAATATTAATGGAACATGTGATCATTGCAAACGGCTTAATACGTCTCCAGCTTGGTGTCAAACATGTGACCCTATTAAATTTCAAATTTGTACTAGCGGAAACAAGGATATCGACGAATATATGAAAGAGCTTCTAATTAAAACTACTGCATATACTGATGTAATTGATTGGATTCCATTTAAGAAACTAGCTAATGTGCAAAAGATTCTAGAGAAGTCATCTGAAACAGTTTATTCAGCAACATGGAAAGATGGTATGCTAATAGTTGAAAACAAAGACAATACTTATGCAAAATCACGTACGTCAGAGTGTGGAGTTGAACTCAAAGTGCTGCATGGTTTAAATGAGTTAAACGTTTTAACAGAGGTATGTATTTACGCTCGTATGCTAGTGGCTTTTATTATCCAACCGCACATTACTATTGTATGAATATTATCAATAAATTAATTTTTACATTTGATTCTTTATTTAATAAGCTCAAAAATCTCTTTAAGTTAAAAGGCAATAAAATATATGGATTAACTCAAAATATAAATAACAATGAATATATGGTGCTATTTGATTATTATGATGAAAGAAGTAAAAGTTACGGAGAATGTTCATATTGCAAGAGATATAATACTTCAAAATTTTGGTGCCAGTCATGTGACCCTCAAAAAACTACTAAAGGATGGGAAAGTGGAAATGAAGTTATTGATAAATGGATCTGTGCATATCAAATTAAAATTTATGCATACGAAATGGTAATTGAATGGATCCCATACGATAAATTTGATAATATACTAATGATTCCATATGAGAAATTGGATAATATACTAAAGACCCCGTATGAAGAATTGGATAATATACTAAGGATCCCAGAAAAGCCATCAGGATCAATATTTTCAGCAACATGGAGAGATGGTATACGAATAGTTGAAGGCGATCATGATAATCCCATACGATCGCGCACACGATCTTGTGGAGTTATACTAGAGACATTGAATGATTCCCAACTGGAATCTTTAAAGGTAAGTCACATATCTTTTAGTTATTAACATACTTTATAAATATTGTTAATACACTTATTATTTTATATTAGGTGTTTGAAAAACATATGCAATCATATGTCAACAACAAATTCAAAATTTACGGAATAACCCGAAATCCAGCAACAAATAGTTATTTGATTGTGCTAGATAAATTTTATTCAGATAGAAAATCTGCCTATGGTTCATGCCTATATTGCACAAAATCCAACAATTCGAATGTTTGGTGTCTGACTTGTGATACGCAAAAAACGACTCAAGGATGGACAAGCGGAAATAAAGATATTGATGACTGTATAAAAGAGTTTCAAATTAAAGCCACAAAATATATAGACGTGATCGAATGGGTTCCATTTAACGAGTTAATTATAGAGGACCAAATTATAAAGGATAGACCTGAATCAAAATATACAGCAATTTGGTCTAATGGCATTCGAATAATTGGAGGCGACGAAAACAAAGGCTATATACAGTCTCGCGAACCATCATATCCAGTTGATCTCTTGACTCTTCCTCATTCAAGTGCTTCAGATTTTGCAAAAAACGTAAGTTGCTTACTATTGGTTGGCCGTATAAATGTCGAGGTGCTAATAATTATTCAAATCGTTTGCTTCACAAGTTTAAAAATCACATACAAGAACAAGACACATTATTTAAGGCATATGCAATAACGCGAAATACTATAACAAATAAATATATGGTTTTATTTGACAATTTCGGTTCTAAAAGAGATTCTAAATATGGAAAATGCGAATTTTGTAAACGACATAGGCATTCACCAGTTTGGTGTCGAACATGTTACCCTTCCAGAGATCGAAAACTGAGTATGGGAAATGGCGAGATTAATAATTTAATTAGGGGTTTTCAACTTCGAGCCACGGCATATGAGGATTTTATTGAATGGATTCCGTATGGAAGGTTGGAAAATATGAAAGAAATTGGTACGGGAGGATTTGGTAGGGTATATTCTACGATATGGATGGATGGTATACGCTGCAAAATGGATGATATACGTAAATTGAAAAATAATATAAACTCGCGAGAAGAC